TTAAGGACTCCCTAAAAATAGACTAATGACCTATGGGACTGTTACACTGTGCTGTGTTCAGCATCCAAGGGATAATAGGTCACTAGAAGATTACTTTACAAACTATGTCACTTGGACCCTGAGTAGTGCAGCTGGAGAATATGCTCCACGTCAGGCTCCCGGCCTGTCAGCAACGTAGTTCTTGAACGCAACACAAATGGAAAACTTTCTTCTCTTAAAATAAAGAAGTCTGAATTTGAATTGTAATACCCTGGTTCCTGTTTCTTGACAGCATATAAAGACAAGTTCAGTAACATATTACTGTTCCAGTAACTCCAAATGCATACAGACTTCATGTTGCATTACACCCACGTTCACTACAGTGGGTACTAAACAAATTACCAGGCATGGATGGAGAGGCTACTGATCCCTCTGTCTGCCCTGAGAAGAATTCTCACCCCACTTCTCCTGTCACTTCCCAGTTACAAACACACTGAAGATGGAATATGCTGAGGCACTGAAGAAAGACCGCACAGATCTCCGTGTCTCATCCACGAAATAAAATTTGGTGATGGCACTGCAGTGCATTTTACCATTCTTGGAGGCAATCACGCGAGGTGCCTACTGCTCCACGGCAGGAGCTTTCCACGTGCCAACAACACAAACAGAAGCACAAAGGAGGAGGTATTTTTGTGATCAAGCGTGCAGCGCACAAGCAGTGGTCAACCTCAACCTTTAGAAGCACCAATCCTTGAAAACTCCATGAGACTAGAGCAGCACAGACGGATGCAGGTGCCTTCCAATCTGGCTGTTTTAGGCTACCTGAAGTATTTGACTTCAGATCTTGAAATTCCAGCCACAGTGCTGACCCCCTGAACCACAGCTAATACCCAAAGTTAGTGATAGAATAGTGCCATGACTTTCCAACCCCCAGGTGCAGAAGGAAGGGGAAAGTCATTGCACTTTTATAACCCTGTATGACCTGGATAACCTTGTATGACCAGAGAAAGCAGATGGGGAAGACATACGACATATTTTGTTGTAATTCAGTTATTCCAAACACAGCAGGCATAAGAGCTTTGGTACTCCTGATCACTAAAGGTATCCACACACAGGGACTTTCTCAGCCAGAACGGATTAGCTACTTGTTTAAAATGAGGAGGACGGCCATATTCATGTACCTTTTGTCTGAAATCTCTTGCTACGCCAAGAATGTCAACTCAAAAAGGGAACTCACACCACCATGAGGAAAAGTTTGGGTTTGAGACATCAGAAAGCAGGAAGCAAAAGTGTTATTTATAGTTTATTACAAAGCCAGGTCAGCAAAGGCAGTTTGAAGCCAAGGCTCCAGAAAGCTACATCAGCTGCAACAGAATGCACTTGAGATCCGTGACCGAGTCACGGAGGATCAGAGCTCCCCATGGGTGTCTGAACCCCCAACTGCACAGAAGGTGGGGAAGCTCTTCACTCGAGCAACGTCCAACTGCAACGAGCAAACGAAGCTTTGCATGTGTTCAACAGAGAGAAGGTGACATCAGCACCTTTAAATTCATCACCCTCCTTGTCACACTTCATCAACACACGGCAAGCAGCCTGGCCGCCCGGGGCAACCACCACCCTCAGTGCACACGGGGTGCTCGGACTGACAGTCACCCTGACCCCACTGTGCACACAGGCAGGGACAAGCCCCCAGCACCAACCTGATGGGCCTGGAATGAGGATAGAGTATGGGGTGGGGGGTATATACACACACAAGGTGCATGTGTGTGTACACACACACGCACTCCAGAGTTAGAGACACGAGTAACAAATGGCAGAATAACACCACTGCTGTGAATCTGAAGAGGATCTTAGCTGTTCAGACTCAGTTTAGCCTAAAAAAAAAAAAAAAAAGTCGCTTCCTGTTACAGGCAAAGCAATGTCTCTAATATATTCCGTGCAAAAGAGAAATGTGCTGCTTCCCACATCCCAAAAATCCCTCCTCCTCCTTGACCCATGCTCATCCACCTCTCCTCAGGTGTCAGCCCTGGCTCACACATACCACTCAAATTAAGGCTTGATACAGAACCCAGTGAAATTCAGCAGCAACTTTCTAGCAACAGGCTTAGAACTGGAGCACAAACATATATTTAGCCGTCTAAAATGTAGAAACTGAATCCGCATAAGCATCTCCTGGGTATGCCAGAGCCAGGACTTAGCCCAGATGACACAACACTACCATGCTGAGAGCATTCTGCTTCCCTTTTAACCCTCTGCTAAACCGGGATGCAGAGATACGAATCATATTTTGGCCAGATTTCATTTCCCGAACTCTAATGCTCACCTAGGACATGTTTCTTTGAAATTAGCCAGTATGGTTTCTGAATTGCTGTATACAGATAGATTAAAACTCAGTTAACTCTCAGGAACGATAGAAGCGAAGGGGCAGCTCGCAACACGCCAGCCCAGCATTCTGGATGTCCATTTTCCACAGAACCACACTGATTTTCATCTAAGCAAGTCCTATGGTCTTTGGGAGGCATCACACACTCAGACAACTCTAAGCGCCATGGCAGGAAGCGGAGCGCCTCAGTCTACACTCGCATTTCATCTCTGGAAAGATTTTTTTTTTTTTTGCCAGGAAAATCCACCTGGCCTGTTCACAAAACACTTCTTCCTGAGAGTGCTGCAGGAACACGCTACGGGCCAAACGAATTGCTGTGACGAGAAGCCACACGTTGCCATCAGTAGCTTTACAAACAGGGACCTCCACGGAGTTTGGTGCAGCACTTGCTTACTGAGAGCTGCCTCCCAGTCCCTCCCCGTTCCTCCTGCTGGACCCTACGCACACACGGCAGGTTGCAGACAGGAGCTCGCAGGCTGGGTCGGACCAGGAGGCCGGTAAATCGGTCACTGACGGCGTCAGCGTCAGCAGCTTCAGAGAAAAGCACGAGAAACCTGTCAGCGGGAACGTCCCCGAGGACAAGCTCCCTTCCTAAGCCTCAGCAGCCTACCCAGCCTGCCACAACGCAAATCACAAGACGCCTGCACAGTGGGTGTGTGCTTAGTCACTTCTTAATGTTGTTTTTGTCATTTTTTTCTTCCCTAGAATATCAGTACAAAAACCGCTGCTCTTCTCAGTTACTGGAGAGCTCCTGTCCTGGCGACGCAGCTCACAGCTTTGCTGAGCAGCAGGGGAATGGAACGGACAAGAACAGTTTCTATTAATAAGCTCAGGTTCACCGACTTGCTCAGGCAGTTAATCGCTCCTGATATCAAATTAATGATTAAGGGCTTGACTCTATAGACTTTTTTAAAACCTATCACATGTAACCAATTATGTCAACATAGTTCCTCTTGCGTAACGCCGCATGATCACATTATTTTCTCAGCAGCCATAATTCCTCCTCAGTTCAAAACTGCTGCCTAAGCGACACAAACAAGACTAAAAGAACAAAAGCTCTACAGTGGAAAAAGTGTCCCCACGAGGATAACTAGGTCACATACAATTATTTCCACACACTCATCAGCCTTCATGGTTTTAACTCTCCCGAGCAGACTAGCCCTCAAACACAGCAGCACTGTCCTGCACACCCTCTGAGAGTGACACAGGACTCACAGCTCCAGCTCTAGACTTCTCAGATATTACTAAAGACAGGAAACGCCACGCAGGAAGCCCAGTCTACAAGGAAACACACGATCCACCTGATACACCAGCCAAACACACAGTGCTGAGAACCCTTTGCTAGGACCAGGAGTACAAATATGTCTTTCCAGGTTCTAAATTAGCTGATTAAGGTCACACAGCTCATTAGCTTAATCAAATCTGTCACTTGGTGAGCGTCCAGGAAACAAGATGCCGCTGCAGCAGCCTAGAGAACATGTCCACGTAACCAAGAAACAAAGCAAAACAATCCCCTTTTCAAATCTTGCTGCCATTTAGGCATAGCAACCTTCCTGCAAAATGAAAGCTGTGGCAGCTGTCACACGGGTTGATATATATCGAGGTCACCGCTGCTTTGAGCCTATAGTTCACCACAACTTGAACAAAGAGGAGAAAAAAAGGCACATAAACTTTCTTAAATGAGGTCTGGTGAATGCTACAGGGACTCATGGGTAAAATACCATCTCTTGGTGAAGATGTGGCCTCAAAACACTCACAGGAACTTAACAAGTCTCTCTGAAGAGTCAGAATCTAAACTTCCTAAAAAAACCCAATACCACACAAACAAAACCCACAGAATCCATTACGTGAAAACTTCCATACAAGCCACTAACTTGGTTATTTACTTGAGCAGGAGATTGATTACTCAAGTTTGAACAGGAAATAGAAATACAAACATAACAATTGCCTGTAGGCAAATACACAACACTGACATACTGCATTTGAGGAGAATGTTTGAGGGCTAAAAAAAAAAAATGTTCCTGCCTTCCCAGTTTGCTTTGAGTATTCCTTAGATGAAATTATTTTCAAAAAAAAAAAAAAAAAAAAAAAAAGATTCTAAGCTGAGAGAAAGCTCGCTACGAGATACAGGCAAGTGCCAACACTGCGTGTGAAGGGGCACAGCAGTGGGACAGACAGGCGCCCTGCTGCTGACCACCTGGTTACTCAAACTAGCACTTGGTTATCAGAGCACTACGTGTGATAAGAAGGGACCCCCTCATGCCCCATATCTACCTTTTCGACAGCTCATTTAGTAACTGTTAAGGGTGAGGGTTTGTTTTTTAAACTACAACGTCTAGCAGCAAATAATTTCACTTTCCTCTCAGAATATTTTAAACAAGTAAGAGGGATAAATAGCATTAAAAACATAGACACAGTCCCACAGAGAACAGAAGAATCACCTGCTGAGGAGCACAAGGCACACAGGCAAGCGCACAGGTAGAACAACTGCAGACTTCTCAGCTCCCTTGCAGGTTTTCCCAGGCAGTATCGTGACAGAAATCGGGCGCTAATGCTGAACTTGGCTTCCAACCTCTTCTCCATGGCCTTTGAGGGCAGCAGCAGGGTCTAGAAACATATAAAATATGAAACACAAAACATGCACAGGCAATTGGTATGTTCTCACACAGATCCAGCTTACTTTATGAAAAGCACTGAGCACTGGGGGAGGAAAAGGAATGCCTTATCTTATCTGCTGTGACTCAGTCCAGCTGCTGCTAAGTAACTATCAATGCACGACAGTAAAAGGAAACCTGTAGCAGCAAAGTCTCCAGTGTTGAACAGCAGCAGGTCGCCACGACGGCCTTTCCCATCGCCCTCACGATTTCCTCCTCCAGACCCCACCACTTCCAGTGGCAAAGCATCTTAATATCACAGTCTACCGGATTCCGAAGGCGTTATTTCGGGAATTTCACTTTTCAATCATGCCACAGCAAACGGATACAAGCATAACACGGGCACTGATAAACCCGGCACATCTGCCTGGCGATGTCATCACTTGCGTGTTGGTGTTGGCTGGTACCAGCCAGAAACAAAGAGAAACAAGAATACAACAACACTGAGGGACACGGAGCTAAAAACCTGGTTTGCCTCATGTTTTGCTGTGGCGGGCAGAAATCACAAAAGTACTGATGCTTCTTCTCAGCTTTTCTAAGGACGAAACGCCGTTTTCAGCTTCATACGTTACTGAAATCTAAATTAGCACTAGGGGATGTGACTGAAAACGTTTATTATTTCACAGGTAATAAACATTATCTCTTGCCAAAGAGTCACGAAGCACCATTAGGCACGAGGAGTTAAACCGACCGTTTCTGAAGAATCAAAAGGGAACAGAGTCACAGATCTGACTACCAGCCGCTGCCTGGACACTCATCGTTTGTTAAACCCCGGGGAAATCTCCCCAAACCACCCGGCAGCGAAGAGCGTGAGCACCGAAAGGGCCACGGGAGGAGAAGTTCCCGAGGGGGGGATGTAAAACCCCTGTTCAGCCAACAGGTCTCTAAGGAAACTTTCCGCCCCCCCCCGCCTTCCCGGACGGCTCCGCTCCGCCAGCCCCTCGCTCCCACGGCGGTTCCCCCCGCGGGACGGGGACGGCTCGGGGCCGGGCCGCAC